ACGATCGCCAACTGGACTTCCGTTTGGTTTATGCCGTGAACTAAGCCCTCGTCCCCTAAGTTGGGGAAAAGGGTCACTAAAGTGGCCCCGAGTTTGGCGACTGCCTGTGCGCTCAGAAACCACTCGACCCTCGTTTCGCACAATATTAACACCTTATCCCCAAATGCCATCCCATTGGCTATCAGTCCTTTGGCCAGGGATGTGGTAACATCGTCCACCTGTCCGTAAGTCAGCCATTGATAGTCGTCGAGTGTATAGGAGTTGAGGGGCCGGCCATTAATGCGGACCACTTTGCCGTCAATTCCAATAGATTCCGTTACAAATAGGACTTCCCTATAGCCAAGGATGGGTACGTCCCGTCCGTGATAGCCGACCAAAGAGTTTAATGTCTCAGTGACAGTGGATTTGAACGTATGGTGGGTCAGGTGCTGCTGGTGACAGACCCTGGTGTTTGTGTCGTCCCCCGGAGTTTCCAGTTTTGATCGACTTTTGTTTGATTCAATGATACGTTTCCACGGCTTTTGGTATAAGTAGTAGAAGGGAAGGGATGTATAGGTGTAGAGGTTGACCACAAATCGCACCGGTAACATAAATATGGCGTACATTATCATCATCTATAGATAACAGTATTAAATAGTATATTAATTAAAAATTAAAAATTGACTAGGCTTATTCATAATTTATGAATAATAAGTGTAGATGTTTAGAAATGAGCAATGTTATTGAGATAGAGTACAGTATAAAAATTATAGGTAGATACCAGAATTACCTTTTCATAAATAGTAGATTTTAGAAATTAAATTAAATATTTACTTTGTACTTTTGTATATATTAGATACTATCTAATGTAAAATAAATTGTTGAAATGAGAAAATATTATATAAATTATTATATACTTCTAATAACTTAAAATCATTACAGTAATAATCTTTCATATACTACAGTCTCTCATTTGATTCCCCTTAGTATATTAGCTTATCAGACAATACTTTAATAATTATGATACTGTATTAAACATTTGCTATAAAAATTGTTTTTATTACTAATAGTAATTTTAGAAATTATAAATATTGTCATTATTTTTATTATACTATATAATAATTCATGAAGCATTCAATTAAAATAATTATACTATACTGGTATTTCAAAATTTATGCGCTCAAAAAGTCATTTGATGTCTCACGATTGTATTTAATAATTATTTTGTTTTCTATAATTTTAAAAAATCATTTATAAATCATTTTCGTATAATCATTTACTATACAATTTTCAAAGTTACAAACTCATTAAATTTTGCAATACTATTTGTTTGATGGCCATATATCACATGTTATTTTTCAAAACCCTATACTATCATACAAAATACTTCAAATTGTTTAAGGAATTTATACAGATGTATAATAAATGCTAAAATGGTCATGACACAAAAGTTATTTTATTATATGGGCCAATATTGGGATGACATTGGTGACCCACGGGTAAACTCTTGGATACTTATTAATGGCGGACTATGGCGTATTATATCCTTGATGACCTGTTACATATTTATTACTGGAGTATTTTTGCCATATTTCATGAAAAATAGGTAATACTAGTAATTATTATTATGTAATTTTTATTAAAAGGTTATTAGCATGCAGTAATATATAGTTTATGTATTTATTTTTTTAGAGGCCCCTTTGAATTAAAAAGGTGCATGCTATTTTATAATACATTTATGGTGATCGTAAATATGTACGGCTTTTACTGGGCAGTGATATCTGTGGACAGGGGTCGCATATTCCTCGACTTCAACTACCCGTCCCGATCCGATACGTCACCGCAAACATTATGGTACCTTTATCTGGGCTGGCTGTTTATGATATCCCGGCTTATGGACTTATTGGACACAGTTTTCATGGTATTACGCAAAAGGGACTTGCAAATAAGTGCCTTGCACATGTACCATCATACAGTGGTACCGGTGTTATGTTGGGTATCATTTAAATACAACGCAATGATACCCATAATCCGGATGTTTGTGTTGATCAACACCGGTATCCATACCCTTATGTACGGGTACTACGCGTTGGCGGCGTTAGGGCCAAGAGTTAGGCCATACCTGCAATGGAAGCGCTACCTAACTGTCCTACAAATCGCACAGTTTGTCATTTGCGGTACATATGGGTGTCTATTGTATTACAAACAGACGGGTTATCCCATGGATTGGTTTTATTTCGTTGTCGGACAGAATCCACTGTTTTTTGTCATGTTTTATGATTTCTATTCAAAAACTTATAATAAATTGAAATAATAAATAAAATTTTTATTTGAAACCTTATTAACCATTTTACTGCAGTTTTATTATTTTGTAAACATTTAAAGAATTAAAATTAGCATTCAATTATTATATACGTCAATAAGTCAGTCAATTATTCAATATGTTTACTAAAAAGTATAATTTTTCAAATTATTGGTATCTAAATATTTGGACAGCATGATCATTAATCCATTTTATTTTGCGAATAAATTTTTAAGTGAATAATTTCATCATTATTTCATCACTTTCATCAAGTTCATCACTGTATTATAACCTGAAATACTTCAATGTAAAGTGTTCCTGTTCAAATATGTAGCACCTTTCAGAATGGTGCCTCTCTTATGTAATTTTATGCATAACGTGTTGGGGAACTGTATGAGGTGTATTGGTCGCCAATAGGGTGACCTTAAAAATAGGTCCCAAACCCGGTTAACCTTATTAATATAATTACAATTATTAATTGTGAAGTTATATTAAATTATTATTATTAAGAAGTACTCATTATTTTTTTAATGAATTTATTAATTAAATACTTTACTTTTTGCATGTTTTTACTAATATGGAAATTGATATTTAAATTGGAAAAAATAATTGCTAATATTTAATAACTATCAGTTATGTGACTAACCATTTAAAATAAATGTTTGAATTTGATAGTTACTTATAATTTATGGTGATTGTAGCATTTAAATAAATGTAGTCATACCGATTTAATATAACACGTAAATAAATTAAAATTAGTCTAATTATTTAAATTAAATTTAAAATCGTGATGTTCAAACAATTGATTAAAAAGGCTTTTATAGGGATAGTCATTATTATAATATTCTATGCATTTAATTTTAAGATTTTAACAATTTTCTTTTCTAAACATTTTCTAATTTAATAAAATAATTTTATTGATATATACGTTGAAGGTTATGGTAGATCACAAATTAATAATTATTGTAATTATGACAATAATAATGCCCTCGAAAATGATATAATGTAATATTAATTTTTAACAATATTCAATATATAAATACATTTTGTTTAGTGAAATACACAAAAGGAATCAAAACTTTTAAATAAAATTTTTATTATAGTATTAGTTTCAAAAATATCAATTAATTAAACTTTATATATACAGTAGAAATTTAAGGAAAAGTTTTGCCTATTGTATAATATATGAAACTATGCAAAATATAATTAACACAACTGTCCATAACTACGGGACTCTACGAGCCTTAAATTATTACTTATATGACTACTGGGCCCATGAGTCCGATCCACGGACTCGACAGTATTGGCTGACCAGTGGAGGGCCTCTACCGGTGCTGACATTCATGACTCTATGGCTGCTTTTTGTGACCAAAATAGGACCCAAACTGATGGCAAACCGGAAGCCGTTTAGCTTACGATGGCTTATGTTTGCCTACAATGTACTGATGGCCGGCACTAACGCTTTCTTTTTCTTACTGTCCATCAAATGGCTGGACAACGGACGGCGACTACTGGAGTTCCAATTCCCTTCCCGCGACGATACCAGCCCTCAAACCCTGAGATACATCGACGTGGGAATGGCCTACGGGTGCACCAAATTCATAGACTTATTGGACACCATATTCCTGGTGTTACGCAAAAAGGAGTCTCACCTGACATTCCTGCACCTCTACCACCACTTCATGGTCCCCATACTGACCTGGCTGACAATGAAGTTTGCGCCTACCTGTCCACCAACAGCCATCTTTGCCGTACTCAACACACCCGTCCACACAATGATGTACTCGTATTACGCGTTGTCGGCGTTGGGACCGACTGTCCACCGGTTCTTGTGGTGGAAACGGTATATAACTGTCGCACAGATCATACAGTTTATCCTATTC